TTAGAATAGATGCGGAAATCAAAAGAAATCGAAAAAAACAGCAGAAAATACTTCTTCTATGGAGTAGAAGGTGAAGAAGGAGATGGTGGCAATAAGGTTTTAGAGTATGAGAGTTTCGAACCTTACTCTCTCTCTAACACCCTAACACTATTTTATTAAGTTAAATTTGAATAATTACAAGGAAGCCCTTAGTTGGGCAAGAAATTACAAAGAACACAACATAGAAAGGATGGGCCCAGAATAAGGCCCATTACAGAAAGGAACATAAACAGTAAGAAAGGATAAACAACCTATGGGCCATTCGGCCCATCTTCTCTACAGCTTCTAATAGGCTCTTCGACCTTCCTATCAACCTTCACGAGGAAAGCCTAAATGTTACTAGCAAAGGAGCTCCAACCTTGCTCCCTCTACCCCTCCGGCACACAAATCATTTGCTTCTTGTTAGGGCCAAAGTGCTCTGTTACTGTGAAGAACCAGCCCCTCTCATTTTTCCTAAACACTGCATTGAATCTTCTTCCACCACACTTCAACGAGTTTTTCCAACCTTCTTTCCTGATGGTATTGACTATTCCATTGACAAGTCCTTTCAACCAAAGGCAAGCTTCCTCTGGTAGAAAAATCATTGCCCTACTACCTTCCCTGATCTAGTGCGATTTGCCCTTTGTCCGTCCCTGCTCGAATAGGAATTTCTTTGATTCAATAACCAGCTCCACTCGCCACTTCCCCGCCTGCATGAAACTTCCCATCTCCTTCCTATTCTCTATATCCTTCCTTTGCAAGCATGCGTGACTCAGTAATGCAGGATTGTTGATACTATTCCTTCCAAGTAAAACCCATTTTCTGTCCTCATGAACAAAACTGCTGCATTCTCAACAGAAAGAAACCCATGTTTGGATTTTCTGCATCAAAAACTCCTTCAACATCCTCATTAAGCTCTAGCAACAAAACCTGAAAACAGCATTACAAACCTTGGCTTTCTACTATTCAATGGTCTCTCTTCTCCCTTGCTCTTGTTTTGTGGATGAGCATGGTTTTTCTTTTTCATGATTATTTATTCATTTATTTATCAAACTTTAGGGCTGGTGGATGTGAACTCTTTGCGAGGCATGGGCACTGAATTCTATGTTATTGTATGAATGAACTTGTATAGCCATGCCTTACATGTGGAAACCAAAATACCAAGCCACCTTGACTAGCAGACAAACATACCAATGTAAATGTACATGAGATGTATATGATGCGTTATTAGTAAACACGCACACACATAATGCTTGGAAAATCAAATACATACATCATTGACCCACCTCCATTAGGGAATGTAATGAAAGATATATGCTGTTTTTTCAAAATTGACCATACAAGATTTAAAACAATCAACAAAAAGAATAGTTACACTGACATAATTTCACCATCAATATACATAACTAGAGAAACAACTTAGTAATTCAATTCCACTGTTGCTCCAACTAACTTACAAGATAATCAGGTTCTCTGATATGAGGGAAAACACCTCCTCCAATGCGAACCATCCACAAGAATTTGTTGATATCGTCACTAGGGTAGCCAACGAGACCTGATCACAAAAGCAACTCTTAAGAAGATTAACTTCTCTGTTATAAGATAATGCTATAGAACATTAAGGAAGCCAACCTCCAAATACTACAAGAACATATTTCACATCCAAGGAGTTGAAAATCTCCCAAGCTGCTTTCTCTGGAGAAGACATGGCAGTTCCAACAGTTGCAATATGTGTATTATTCCAAGTATTGTTGTCAACAATGACAGTGCGGTTAGCCATTGCTGTTGTTTGATAACCATAGTCCCACCAAGATGCAACCTGCAAGAAGTTTTTGGTAAGGATTCATTCAATTTATTTGTTCTTTTGGTTAATCATGAACTTCTAGAGTCCAAAATGTCAACTGATTCAACTAGTACAAAGACCCTAAATGGTCAATTCTGCTTTAGTAGGGATGGATAAGAAGTTATAATTTACGAGCAATTTTATGCAAAAGATCTTGATCATATGAAAACCCCTAAAATGATTAAGCAAGCATTGGCGACATGTGGATAGATTTGTTAAGTCACACTAAAATTAATGGCCAGTCTTTTATATCTATTCCTGGTTTGCAAAAGATACAATGCTAGCTATACTAGCAAAACTTCACTAATTGGATGCTAGACTAAAACCATGTTAGGAGCTGAAAAGCCCTTCAAAGGTAACCTGGTTCCTCTGACTATTCTAAATCAACCAGAAATCAATCAGAAGCCATATGACATCTACTCCAGAGTCCAGGCAATTGAACTCCACAAGAACATAAACCAAAAGGGTCATAGCATAGGCTGGCACAACAAATCCAAATACCACAAAAAGAATTCCTAGAACTACAGTAAATATTAGAAAAAAAATATCTGCTTTCCTTTGAAATACAGTCTAGGAGGCTATTTGATAACAGCTGAAATGGAAGAACGGAATGACATAGTGTTGTCTTTTAGCGGACAAAATAATTAAACAATAAAATAGTTGAGAGTATAGCTATCAACCCAACTTCAGATTCAGCCATTAAGGAGAGACCAATTCCCTGAATAACTTATTCACTAAAAGACATAGCAACAAGTCATTCAATTCAACCACATAAGCTATTATCAAATGGCCCCTAGGCCTTAACAATAATAATAAGAGCCCGAGCAATTTCCAAAACCAGCGTCAGAATTGGCACTAAATTAAATAAAAGGGATAAAGGCTACATAATTCATGCATGTAATAAAACATGCAAGAAGACAGGGGGAGACTCACCTTATCATCTACTTCAGTGTTGTGGCGCAGCCATGCATAAGCTTCTCGAAAATCATCAAATACATGCAGACCATCATGTGAATATGATGTTAGAACTATTGAAGGGGCTGAATAAGCCTCTGCTGCTGCCCAGACACAATGAACCTACAAGGAGAACACAATGATAAAAGAATGAAATGACAAAGAATGCAATGATAAAAGATGCAAACTAATGAGAATCCCATTCATTACCCAAAAAGAAAAGAAAAGAAAAGAAAAGAAAAGAAAAGAAAAGAAAAGAAGAAAGAATACTATTTTAAGTTATCATATTCCACAAACATCGCATTCATTTAGGGCTGTCAATGGGTGGCCAGACCTGATAGACCCAAACTGAACAAATCCAATTATATAGGGTCTGACCTGCATTATTTAATTGGAACAGCATTGGTTTTGCTTGTTCCATAACAAATTAAGACCTGATAATTGGGTGTGTATGTATAATGGCATAGTTTTTGGAAGATAAATAAAAAAGAAAGTTTTATTAAAATAAAAAGTCTAAAACCAAATTTTCTCTTTCATCATAAAAGAATACCTATTTTTCTCATGATACACTTGTAATAGTATCATATTTGAGATGTCCAAATGTGTCAATATAACAAATAAGTAGGTTTATTGTCAAATTACAGGTAAAAGTATAGCTGTCAACTATAATCGGGTATTATTGGGTCAAACCCTATAGTCCCAATTATTGACCCTATAGGGTCTGGCTCAGAACTTAGTATCTAAGTCTCATTTTTGTTTTTGTAAGTTCAATCAATCTTTGTATTGAAATATTTCCAATATGACCAAGCAGGTGGTTTTTTAATGAGTCCCAATTTTACCTTGAATATAAATGCTTCTCTTCTCTAAAATAATCCATTAACAGCTCTACATGCATTATGCTAGAGATGAGAAGCATCTTTTAGATACTAAGTAGCATCTAAATTCAAGGTAAACTTGGAACACATTAAAAAACCACCGGCTTAATCATATCAGAAATATTTCAATACAAAGATAGATTGAATGTACAAGAACAAGAACATTAAAAAATGAGACTTGTGACGATTGATTTTATGCCTAGGATGTGAATAAACTTTAGAAAGTATTGATATAATTGGTATTAAGACATAATATATGAAACTGAAAGTATCATATTCAAGAAAATATATTGTTGAGGTATTCATAAAAAAAATATATATATATATATATATATATATATTGTTGAGATTTTGCAAGTATAGAGATATGCATACCACATATAAGGCACCCAATAGGACAAGCAAGAAAATAGCAACAACAGACATCTCCAAAGGCAAAGCTAGAAGCTTCTTCTCAACTTGTGACTTAATAGTTGCTTTTTCCACAGGTTCCTTTTCTTTCTTTCTGTTCTTTTTTGAGGGTCTTTCTTTTAAACTGTCTTCTTTTTTATCAGTGCTTGAGTGCTTTTCAGACTTCACAGCATCATTTTTTATTGTGGCACTTCCAGAAGTGGTATCTCCTGCCTTAAAGGTCAACAGACAAAATGACTTTTAGTCTGAAATTCAATTTCAAACTTAAATATTTGAAGAATGTGAATAGGCAATAGGGAGAAAACTAAGCAAAGTCTTACACCAGAATGGGAATTCTCTGGAATTCCAGGCAATTGAAATTTGATTGATCGTGTAAAGACATTAAAGGCCTCAGAAAGAGCAATTCCAGACATAATACATGCCGCTGGAGCTAGTACAAGCATGAGGCGCACCTGAAGAACCAACCAGATAAAGAATGAGATGATATGAACAAGGTTCAAAATATTGAAACACACAACACCAAAAAATTGAGTATTGTGTGTGCCAATTGCTTGATACTCCTTTTTTTATTTTTATTTCAATTGTTATTTGAAAATAGATTTTTTAGGATGGACATTAACAACTCAGACTGTTAATATCCCCTAACTCTCAATATTTTGCATGTTGGTGGTCGCCCCATATTAGGCATATCGTATTGATACTTTAAACCTCAGATAAGAGTTTAGAAAGCTGTAGAAATATCACATATAGAAGTTAGGTGTCTTGGATTTATGTACCATGACTCCTGAAAAATATACTGATGTTACAATATAAAGGACCACAAAGGAGCTGGCATCAGAAAGGGGTAAAAAGCATGCCTGCAAACAAAGCAAAATGAATTAAGCAACAAGTTGGACACAAGAAAAAAAAAATGCTTCACCAAAATCAACATCCAGCAGAAACATCGCAAGCTGAATTTAATACTTACAATGATACCAGCTGGAACCAAAAATGCCAAAACATTAATATCCATGAAGTACGATGGCCAAGTTGGTGGTTGATGTTCACTAACACTTGCAATAATGGGTATGTACTTGCTTGCATAAGTTCTGTTTCAGTACAATGAAAGGAGCATCAGTAAACTAACCAAGGATGAAGAGGCACCAATAACATGGTTAACAAATCCAAAAATCACAATTAATACTTATAACAATTGCCTGAAAGCAGTAAGGTAAACCTAACTATGTGCCAAGGAAAAAACAATTTCCAAATACATAAACAAGCACAGTGTCATTATTTGCAATCTAGGATGCTTATTGTATTTGACCTTATGTTTCCTAAGAGCTAAGACATGACAAGTCTAATCCTTTTCTACAGAAGAAAAATAGGAAACAATTCAGCGACAATCTATATATATTTCAGCTTCTTCCTTGGAGCAAATACTCTGGTTTCCACAACAAGCCCATGTTTAGCTAAGGTTCTGTTCTATCTTATTCAGTCAAATAGATGCTTACGGATCAAGAAGACTCAAACTACGCCCACTCCATCCCTTTGTAGGGCTAGAAGCTACCAGTGCCACAAGAACTGCTATCACTGCAAGACAGACTATCCTGAAAATGAAGCACATCCAGAACATCAACATTTCATATGAGAAAAAAGAATTAATTATATCTTAAAGATCCAGATAAACCAACTTAAATGTGAGAAATCAATCCTTCACTTTATCATCAATGAATTGGTTCTTTCATAACTCACCAAACAACTCCTGAACAACTGAAAACTACTATTTTAAATAATAAAAACAGAACTAAATGAGATGCTAATGCATCAAGTATTTTAAGCAGTTATTTTTCTTTTCTTCTCTTTTCTTTTTTTTTTTTGTTAGTTTCTTTTGTTCCCTTTCCCTTTCTCCTTTTCACAAAGCATTAATTAAATAAAATAAAGTCACAAAATATTAAAAAACACTTCCAAAGTTTTTGATGAGTCCTTTTTTGTTGTTAATAGTTTTTATCTATTAATAATAACCATGTGCTGCTAAATAATCCACATTATTTTCCTCTCTCTTAATCAGTATCTGTTAAGCTTTCTAGATTATTAAAAAATAATGAAAGGCAGAAAAGCTTACAGGCCAATGGAGACAACAAGTGTAACAGCCACTTTAAACATTTTTGGTGAGAGAATCCCTTTGATGTAATACACAAGAGCCACCACATGGATTATAATGAAAACCTGCATATCAGAGTATTAGCAAAATGAAAATATTGTATACAAGGATAACAAAGAACATGGTACAAACCAAACAACATTCAGCTTCTGGTTCACAATAACTCCTTATTGTGGCCTATCTCACAGGACAGCAATAGTTCCATAAGATTAACTTGTATTGTGGCCTATTCACCAATACAAGTCAATTTTGTTTTGATGGGCAGTAATTCCAATAAATAAAGTGAATGGAGATGTAAATTTTAATATTTCAAGTTTCTTATTGGTACAGAAAGGAATCCCACTATAAAGGTTTTCTGATCTGAAGTTCAATGCGACATACTGACCTTTGCAGATGTCATTCCCCATAAATGGAGTTTTCTCCCAAAACAATTCTCATAGTTGATCAACTAATGCTGGTCAGTTCCTCAATCCTAATACGCATACATATTCTATAACGACACAAGGTTGAAGTCTGGTCCAGCTTTTGAATTACAACAACAATAATAATTCAACTCAACTTGATTCAGCTCAGCTATCTGAGGCTGGCTACACAAAACCTGTCCTGCCATTATGCTCCATCAAGAATCATGTTTTCTGTAAAATTGCTAATTTATGGGTCATTCCTTGCCACTTCAGCTCACATTTTCTTATGTATGTGATTGTTCGTTTAGAGCCTTCTACTTGCACCAAGTAACTCCTCATTGATACAGTCAATGGCTGTTCATGCACATGAACAAGCCATCTCAATTGACTTTCCCTCATCTTGTCACCAATTGGAGTTACTCCTAAAAGTCAGAGTGGATCTTCTGCTACTTAGTATGTGAACTCAATGCATACATGCTAAGAACCATGTAAACCATTGATTTTAAAACCATCCAGGTGCATGCAGTATATGTTCTTATATACCATTTCACCTGTAATCTTCTAAGTCACCCTAAATATCTAATGCAAACACAAAAAATGGAAACAAGAAATGTGGAGAAGGAGAAATGTTTGGTAAGACTTGGTTTGTGGGTTTTATGGTCTTCTCTGCGCCCACAATCCCATGTACCCAGTAAGAGAGGCCTAACTAAGCTTTGAAGCTGACCAACTCCTAGGCAGGCTCATAGCTTTGATAAAAATTTCAATTTCACTTTAAGCCATTAAATCATGAGAACAGGTTTTCAACTAGTGTTACATGGATACTTCAAAATGGGTGTTCTGCTCATTCTGGACACATGTGGACACCAATGACATGACACTTGAAGGGACGACCTCTTCTCCTTGTTGAATCCATAATATTTGATGAAAGAACCTCAAGTTCTTGGGATAAAATTTGGGCATGAATTCTTACTTGTTATACTTTACAATTCAAAATAATAAATTATATATTAATGTCATTGTTTGATGTTGTTTGTGTCTATGTGTTTCCCAACAATAATTTTATTACTCATCACATAAAGATCTTATTAGAGGTTAAATACAAGAGAACCCATTATACCATTGTTGTTCATTGTGGTAGTGGAAGTGATGGGTAAATTAATGAAGAGTGCTGATGAACAAATGTCTTTAAAGGATTCAGGGTAGGTAGGGAGGGGATAGTGATTACCCATTTGCAAACAATCATTATAGGAGAATTCAAAAGCCAACAACAGGAGGTGAGATGGCTTAGAATGACATTAGGAGTGATGGAAACAGTGTTGGGGTTGATGGTGAATTTGGCAAAATGCCAATATGTGGGGATATGTCTTGAAGAGCAGGAGACATCAAACAGTGGCATGGAAGAAGGAAGGGGGTAGACCCAGACTCATTAAGTCAACACTTTCCGACCTTACAATATACTTTCTATCAGCTTTAAAGCTCCAGAAAAGGTGGTGAACAGAATAGAAAAAATAATCAGAGATTTCTTATAGAAGCCAATTCAAAATAAAATTGAGCAACTGGTTAATTGGGAAATGGTAAGTAGAACAAAAGAGGAAGGTGGCCTAGGGGGACTTTGGAGGTTACCAATAATCATGAATCAGTACAAGCAGCCCAAGAGGAGGTGCAAGGTGCACCCCACATACAAAAAAAATACAGATTACAATTTACAACTGAGCTTGTCAGAGATAGAGGGATCCAAACAAACTTTATTCAGGGTATAAACATTTATTTTTCCCTAATAATTCTGTGCCTAAAACATCACTCTTGAGCTTTCATATTATTTCTTGGCAACAGGTTAGACACAGTACCATGGATAAGACAGATTACCATATTGTGAGTAGCCCTAAATTTGGTGAAAAAACTTCCGAAAACCCTACTCTACTGTGCAGTGTCTCTTGTCAACTTTGGGTTATTGGGTATTAGAGGCCCCTAGAGATCCATTATCAGTATCCATGACAACAGATTACAGAACATGAAACAGTACAGATATTGAACCATACTTGCTGTTTCCTTCTTGTTCTCAAATGGCTATTTTTGTAGCCATAAGTTGGGGTTCAAGCAAGGTTAACATTTTTTAGATTTTTTTTGAGCAAAAAGTGACTAAGATTATATTAAAGAAAAAGGAGGTACATGAGAAGATGTACTCCAGAGGGAAAAAAAGAAAGGATTACAAAGGAAGAGAACTATCACTAAATAAGCAATCTCTATGAGCACCAGATTTAGCTAAACCATCTGCTACAGTGTTCAGTTCCCTAAAATATTTTTTTGATAAAAAGCATTTTTGAGAATAATTCTCCAAAACAGTACTTAGAGAAAACTACATCTGTTAGAACAGAAGCCGGAATCAGTTCAATATCACAATAACTTGTCAATGTAAAACTTACCAAAAATGATGCAAAATGTTCTGATGTCATCACTGCATTAAAACCAACGACAGGAACCAGGGAGGCCAACAATGTGCCCAAGACAACCTGCAGTAGTGAAGGTTTACAAAGCAAATTAAGTTATCCTAACTGGAAAACATAGGAAACATAAAAAATGCATTCAAAATGTAACACATATTTCTATGAATACTTGCATAAAATTAAAAGGAAAATGCCCTTTTTTATAGGAAATGGTAACTTTCATTAACTTGAAAAACAGAATTACAACCGTCACCTACAGAAGGATAAGATGACCCCTGATCAAAAATCAAATTACAATACAGCCCAAAACAAAGACTCTGTTCACTCCTTGCTTTGCTAGAAAGTCAGCTAAAGCATTTGCTGACCTCCTAGTCCAATTAACAACTACACCAAACTCCCTTGTGAAGCTAAATAATTCCCTTACAGCTTGTCTAAGGAGCCACGATCCCAGACTATTTGTTTGCAACCACCCTACTACTAGTTTTGAGTCTCCCTCAACTTCTAGCTGTTGCATACCCAATTGCTTTAGCCAATCTGAACCCCTGGAGGAGGGCCATCACTTCTGCTCTAAGCGAGTCCCCCACACCTATTGGACCAGAATACATAGCTAGGATTCTTCCTCCCTTTTTATTATTAAATATTTATTTGCCTATATATTTAATAATATCTTGATATATGGGAAAAGAAATTTGCCATCATCTACTTTCAGTGATCATCTTATTAACTTTTTGGTTTACATTAATATCACATAAAACCTATGGAGACAGATTCATGATTTCTTCAGAAATATTTCCTTGAATGGACTTGCTTTACATAGAAAGCACTTTTCTTGCTAACCGCTGGATTTTTTTCTTTTGTTTCCTTCATTTCATTTCATTATTCTTTCTAATATCCTTTTTTTTATAATTGAAATGATTTTATAAATCAGCAAGAAAAAACTACAAAGTCCTCCTGGAAAGGTATGAGTTGCAACCTCTCCGGGCTGGTTAAGTACAGATTTCCGAATTAATAACAACTTGCATAGAAGCACAAAAAAGATCTTCCCTAGAAACCCCCTGTTTGGCTAGAGCATCAGCCAAAGAATTAGCAGACCTACTAACCCATTTTACCTCAACTCTCATATTG